GCCGTCATCTACAACTACCGCGGCACCGGCAACGAGGTGCTGCCCATGTCCCACCACGGTGAGCCGCCGCCGGGGGGCGGGGGGGAGCCTTAGAGAGGGGTCCCTGCGCGGGGAGCTGCCCCTTCCCTCCCCTCTGTCGGCTGCGGGAGCAGGGCACGGCTTTGGTGAGCCCCCGGCTGGTTCAGCCCTCGCCGAGCGCACCCGGCTTTGATGCTCAGTAAGAGACTGGGATTCCTTTCCGACTCTCCTGCACGAGAAGAGTTTCTGCCCGGACAAGCCGGTCCTGTTCAAGGCGCTGCTGTTGAATTTTCTCTGATTAATGAGTAACGATGGCCGATCGCTGAGGCTGCTGTTGTGGACGGAGGGTGAGGAGGCGGCTGCCTGAGCGTTCTGGCCTGGGCGGGCTGGGCACTGGCTGCAGGGGGGCGTGGGGTGAAGGTGGGAGAGTGTCTCCAGTTTGTTTGGGTTCCTTAGTGTGACCAGGTAGCTGCCCAGGGCTGATGGATGCTGCGGTTTTTTAAGCCTGTGGAGTCGATTTGGACCCTAAAATGGGCGGGGGTTCCACACTTGGACAACTGGGTTTTTCTCCCCACGTCCTGCACACTAGCCAGCTCAGAAATGGGCGGAGTGTGAGACTCTTGCATAGGTAACTTTTCACCAGCAAAATGCCACTTCTACTGCAAGTGGCTAAAGCCCTTTAAAGGTTCTTTCCATTTTGCAGAGGCTGATGACAGAGCCTCACTTTTCTTGCTGTAGAAAGTCTCCTACTTGCCGGCAGTGGGGTTTGGTTTTGATTTGGTTTGTTTGGTTTTTTCTTCAACCTGCCCATCTTTCAAGTGAAGAATGAGATTTGGCTTTATTTCAGGCTAGTGTTTCCTGAGAAACAGCCCTGGCTTGAAAGCTATGTAACTGCCTTCTGGTGACAGCACCAGCAGGTGCCCTGGCTCTGGTGGGGCAGGGTGAGCTGGCTTTGGTGGCTCTCAGCTGTTGGATTGATGCTCACACACCTCATGGGCGTGTTGTTGTTCTGCTAAGTGGCACTGCTTTGGGAAGCCACATCTTCTGGAGAGAAATATAACAGTCAAACTGAATAGCAAGTCTTAAAGCTTTGACTGGATTGAAAAATAATTATATCCTTGCAGCCCCCCTCTTGGAAGGGATGGAGAGGGTTTCTGTCTGTTAGCAGTGGAGGTAAGTGTTGTGGTGAGACAAGGAAACAGTAGCTGCCTCTGGAGGTTCGTTGAGTGCAGCCTTAATGAGCTGTATGACTGTCTGTACTCCAAGAATTTAAAACGTACAGCCTGGATGGGCTGTGGCCTTTCTGAGGCAGAGCTTTCTTATGTAACCAAATCATCTGCTGACAAACGCTATCGAGCTCTGGCTATCACTGGGCGAGTTCCTCCTGCTGAGCTGACAGTAGCATCGCTGCCCTGAGCCCTGTTCACTGTGTGCCTGCCTCATCCTGCAGCTCTCAGAGGAGGTCCTTTGGCACTGCTGACCTGGCTAGGTCACGGCTGAACCTGTTCTTGAGGGGAAGGTATATGTGCTCCTGCCCCCTCCTCCATCCTGGCTGCTGGGAGACCTACAGCATGCTAGGAGCTGCCTCTTAAAATGAGCCATCTGCTCTCTGCAGGGCCTGCTCCAAGAGGAGCTTCCTCCTTTCCCATGCTGCCCTTAAGCTTTTTGCTGAAGGATTTGTGTCAGAGTGGCTCTAGCTGTCCTGATTATCCTGTGGGTTATGGGCTCGAGGGCATGTTGGAATTTCCCAACTAAACTGTAGACAAATGGCACAGGGACTTCTTGAAGAAGACAGCTTCTGTCAAACTGCTTATTTCATCTGCATTACTCCTCCTTTGCCCTGTGCTTGTACAATTACTGGGCTAAGCTTCTTGCTGCTGTTGCTTTTATTCCTTGTCCCTGTTTTAGTCCCTCACTTTCTCTCTTGTTCCACCTTCCCTTTTCTTCTTCTCTGGACTTTGGTTATCTTTTTCTGTTGTTGTCGTCATCTGCAAGTCCCTGTTCCTACCTCTCCCCACAGCGATGCTCTTCCTACTGCTCACGGGGCTTTGGTGGCATGCTGTGCTTGGGCTACCCCTGCCCTATGCCCCTGCTGGGAGCCAATGCTCTCCAGTCAAACTTGACAAATGTTGCAGGCTTTCAACACAGTGTGGCCAAGAGGAAGCAAGCTACAACTAATCAGCCTCATTTGTGTTGCCAAGTGCGGGATATTGCTTGTATAATGCTGATGAGGTGTAGTGCTGCAGGCTAAGCTCAATCTTTAAAGGTGACAGCTGGTCACATTGCCCTTTGCTGAACTGCGCTTTGGGATGGGTCTCTTCTGGCCTCCAGTGGTGGCACTGGATGCTCTTAACTCTTCTGGAGGCAGTGGTGAAGGTAGCCCTGCTCATTAAAGAACAGGTTTTGTGCAACTACAGCTCCTGCGGTTGCTGTAATGGTGGTGGCTGTGCTAACAGGGACTTCACAATCCGCATTTCCTAATTGGCTTCATTTCTGCTTTAACTGGGCCATCATATGTTGGCAAGTGAAACCAAACAAGACCGAGCACTTCCTCCGAGCTGAGGCAGTGGGAAGTAGCGGGAGCTGGCTTGGCCGGGGCAAGGGGGAGGTAAGCCTCAGGGCTTTCCCATTTGCCCACAGGGCTGGGGTAGCATCTCCTGCCTGCGCTGCAGCAGCGTGGAGGCCTCTCCTCTCCGCAGCAGGGCATGGGAGCTGCCGTCTGCCTGGCAGAGAAAGAAGATCCTTGCGGGTGGGCTTTGCTAAAATGTATGTCACAACATGCTTTTCTTTGCCGAACTTTGGTAGCAACGGAAGACAAAGTTATTAACAGAAGCTTATCTAAAAGTACAGCGTCCCTTTTTCTGGGGCTGTCAAGCTTTTGAAGCAACTTTCTTGTTTAGATACTTGAAGGTGCCTGTACTTGACAGCAGTGTTTGTGCTGGTCATCCTGCTTCCAGAGACTTCTTTTTCTTAGAATCATCATGTTTAGTCTGATTAATTCTTTATTGCCTTTATCAGTGCTCTGTATGGAAACCTTTTGGTGTGGCAACTTTAGAACCAAAAAAATCCCAAAACAAAACCAAACAAAAAACCCCAAACACCAAAAAACAAACCACCCTGGCAATCAAAACAACATAATGCAATGAATAGCCAAATCGGATATGATCAAATCCTGCCTAATCCTCTATAACACATAGAATGTCAAGGATGTAATGAAGTCCAAAGTAATATTTACTTTGTCCTTTTATAAGCACAAACCCGTATCAATTGGCAAACTTGAGTTTTAATTGTGCTCATTTTAAGAAGATGGTACCGCTCTGTGGAAGGCTGAGCGGGGTTTCAAAGTTCAGTTCTGTGTGCTTATAATTGTACTTCCCTGTAATCTATATTGACCATCTGAAAAAGACATTTGATTGGAGAAGAACAGCAGCACATGGGGGGAAAAGTGCGCAACAAGAGTTGGTTTGTTTTAAAGGTGGACCTTGACTTAAGATAGAACTGGGCTGTTAGGTGGTTTTGGTGTCAGGGTATGGTGGTAGCCATGGAAGGTGTTCTTTGGTGTTAAGTATTTCCCTGCAGCTGGTCAAGAAGGATTCTTTGCAGGTAAGAAAGCTATTGTGATCATTTGCTTTGGTTTCTCTCTCGTCATGTAACTGTAACCTTGAGAAGCACATCACCTGATCTGCTGAGGGCTGCTTCTGGGGGAACACAGCTAAATAATTCTGGCTAAAACAGTTACACTGTGTCTCAGGCTAACAAGATCTGGTTCAAGTGCAAACTTGCATCAATGGGTGAAAGGGGAAGGAAAGGTTAAATATGTAGCACTGCCACTGAACTTGTTCTGCAAGAATTTCACTGAGGTGAAGGCTAACCTGCACATGCTTTGAGGAAATAGTGTATGGCAAAAGTGTGTAATCGTGCTCTGCTCCAACTTTGTGTGAGGCATGATCTTTAGAAGCAAGCTAAAACTTTGCCATGATACTAAAAGGCTGATGTGACCTGTAAAACTGTTCTTGTTAAGGGTTGTGACAGAACAGCAATCCCAAGGCAGGCTATGCCGACTCTTTGTAAATGTTGTGTAAACAAGTAATGCACCTCTCCTCTGCGGTGAGTGAAGACGCGCTGAGCACATCCAAGGAGAGGAATGAGGATGCAAGGTCTGATTAATGACACTTGCTCTCCTGTGTTCCCTGGCCACGGCCCAGTGAGCCTCTGCAGATTATTTAGCCCTTCCTATCAGCAGCTCCTTCTTGAGAGGGAACTTGAATGGATCCACTGTGACTGGATCATATTTACAGTCTGTAGTGCCTGGAGTTCATTGCTCTTTGAATCTGAGAATAGCTACTTGAGGTGTGTGTGCTGCAACTTTGTCTTCTTATGCTCAGTTCAGTTCTGGCTGCCTGGTTTAGAGTAAATTAATGCCCCAGCTATAATGCCTTTCAGATAACTGACCGTGGTGCACAGAGTCTGGCTGATGACCCCAGTCTCCCACCTGCAGGGTGGGGATGGGATGTGATAGTGAGTTGGGGCTACCCATGGCACAGAGGTCTGTTACCAAGCATGAGAGGCACTGAGAAGCAGGATAGACTGATTGGCGTGTCTGACAGCTTCTGATCCCTGCCCTTGCACTTTTTGGTCTAATTTAGGTACCTCTGTGCCATGGAAAACTTCAGGGTAGGGACCAACCTTTAGATAGCCTGGAACAGGTCTCTGAAGTGCCCTTGCTTTTTGGGTTTACTGGGCTGCTGAAATGTAAAAGGTTGAATTAAAATCTGAAGTGACAGCTGTGGTAGCAGAGGCTTCATTGTGTGGGACATAAGGCCCTAAAACAATGATGGTGCTTGTTTGCCTCCAGTCTTGAATGTGCCAGTGAGCAGACAGCGGTCGGGCTCAGCACTGTTCCCTGCTGTATCAAATGTGACCTGTCATCTCTCTGCAGACAGATGCCTTCTGGCTTACACCGTGCTGACTTACACTATTTTATCGTTAGCTCTCTCAGACTTACTTGAGCACTTAGCTGCTACCGGTATGTTGAGAGCA